AGCATTCCCCGCCCTCATTCAGTCCCTTTCCCCCACGCCCCCTCCCTGCCCGTTTATTGGTCCCTGGACCCGGTTATTGGTCTTGCAGCCCGGGCCTGGGAGAGGGTGTCCGAGCGGGTGACCGGCATTAGCCGGCTCGGAGGAGGCGCGGGGAGGATGCGCTCTGCCGGGATGAAAGGGAGGGAGCGGCTTGGGGCTGTGTGAGGGCGGCGAGGCGCTTGACTTGCCTGAACGGTTCACGTTAATCGCGTCCCTAGTGCCCAGGTCTGCCGGTGCTGGCGAGGCTAAGGGAAAGATATTGAGAGAACCATTTTGCTAACTAATGCCGCATTATTTCTGTCTTCTCTGTTGCTCCTTAATACACTTCGTGTTCTGTTTTCGGCGAGACTTTAATTTCTACAGCAAACAAGTGCAACAGGTTTTTGCCCCCCCCCCCCTCTGTTTTTTTTGCCCCCCCCCCCTTTCATTTCTATGTTTCTGAATCTTACTTAAAATATGGTAGTAACTGGTGTCTGCACTGAAATTCATCAGGATGTGCTTTATTTAAAGGTTGTGGTTGTTTCATGCAACTCTCTTGTATGTGATTTTTCTTCTTTATTTATTTCAGGCCCCTCCAAGGCATTCCTTGCTCACAATGTATAGAACAAAAGTCAGTTTGAAAGACCGTCAGCAACTTTATAAACTGATAATTAGTCAGCTGCTATATGATGGATACATAAATATTGCCAATGGCTTGATAAATGAGATAAAACCACAATCAGTCTGTGCACCATCTGAACAACTGCTGCACCTAATTAAGTTAGGTAAGCTGGAATAAAAAGCTAACATAAAAGTCCAATTTCTAAATCCCTAGCTTAAATCCTCATGAATTAAGAGGTTGGTGTTACTGAAAAGACATCTTTTATGCAAAGGTTATGTCTAGTAATAGCATAACACTTTGTATATTTAGATACAGTCTTTGCCTCTGTGGCTTTTTTTGAAGGGCATTCTAGCTCTGTGTTCATCCTATAGTATGCATTAAAAGCAAAATGGATCACCGAGTGTTGTCAGAATCTGTTTGAAGTTTTGTAAAATGTAAGAATACCTGCTTACGGTCCTGGGTGACTGGCAACCTTCTAAAAATACGCTCCAGTAAAAAGCATCACTGAGTCCACAGACCTAATAGAAAATTGACCCACACAATTCTCTGCCAACTTCAGAAATATTTTCTATATGATTCTTTGTGACAGTGTTGGAAAGGGAGCAAGCCCTGCCATTGGCAGTCTTTGCTGGCCTTACATGTCAGCCTCAAAAAAATAAACTTCACAGTCTAGGGTCTCAGCAAAGGTATCACCTGTTCTCTCTCTCTGTCTGTCTCTCTGAAAGTACATCTGTGCTGCAGCATGTAGTCAAAATACCTGAGCTGCTGTTGAAACAAGCTGACAAGTTATTGGAAGAAGTCTAGCCATAACATCATGTCTTCTCTGTGTTGTAACTGAACTGGTTCTGCTGCCTGAACTAGTTGAGTTCCAAGGGTATAAATACGTGAAGCCTTGTGTCTGAAATAAGAATGCTAGACTTGCAATTTGTAGATGAAGGCCACAAAAACTTTTCTGTTGCATTTGATCAGTTGATGATCACAGTTGGGCACATAGCTGAAAACTCTTGTGTCTGCCCTGTTACCACTTGCAGTGCTGAACTGTCTTTGTTCTGTAGATGCATCCTGGAAATAAAAAAAACAAACAAACAAACAAAAAAAACCTGTAGAGTGGCGTGAAGAGGAGTAAAAATTTTTGTTTGTGATGCTGGGATAGTTGTTTGTGGAGTAGGTGGTTTATTTTCCTTCAATAAGACAGAAAGGAAAATAATCAGTAAATGCTTCAGTTTTTTACTTTAAATCTCATGTAATAGTGTTGGGGCTTGTTTCTGTCCCTGTGAAAAGCTGACTAGAGGTCTGTCAGTGGCTTCAGTAACTGATCGTCAGTGCATTTATCAGTGGTTACATTCATTCTACAATATTTGCTGGTTGTATTTCTACAGTTGATTTTAAGAGTTGTGTTCTGCTTTAGTGTAGCCAAAGTACATCTTGTTTCTCATGAGAAGTACTGCTGTATAACTAAATCTGCGCTGCTAGCTTAGCTTTGTTCAACAGAAGCTGCCTCTCTTAAAACCTGACTCATAGCTGTTAGAGAAGTCTGTAGCATAGATCTGGCCACAGCCTGTCTGTCTGAGGAGAAGGTTAACCTGGTTTTAAGTGCATCAACTTCTCTCTTTTCAGGAATGGAGAACGATGACAGTGCTGTTCAATATGCAATTGGACGGTCAGATACAGTAGCTCCAGGCACAGGAATTGACTTGGAATTTGATGCAGATGTACAGACCATGTCTCCTGAGGCTTCTGAATATGAGACTTGTTATGTCACATCTCATAAAGGACCTTGTCGTGTAGCTACATATAGCAGAGACGGACAGTTAATAGCTACAGGATCTGCTGATGCCTCAATAAAAATTCTTGATACAGAGAGAATGTTGGCCAAAAGTGCTATGCCTATTGAGGTAAAATATGACTTGAATTATAACCACTTTGTGAATTCTTGAGGTGCTGTCTTGTTTCATGTCATGTCTGTGCCTTGTGGCTGGCTCAGTGGGTTGGACTAAATATCTTGTCTCGCCGTGTTTCCTACTCCAACAGCGGCTCATAAAGTACCCTTGAAGAAAAAGAAGAAATAGGGCAAGTATACCTGTGTAACTTCTGGCAGCAGCCTAGAGAATTGAGCCAGAAATTGCTTCTAATAGTTGCTTTGTATGAAGACAGCTTACACTTTTGGCCTTTACAGCCTCCAGTGGCTGTGTATTTCAGAACTGTTCCACAGAACATATATTTATTTGCTTCATTTTTTCTCCAATACAGTTATCAGGTAGTGATTTAAAAGTGGTGGTGTTTTTTTCTACACTGAGCACACACTGAATTCTCAGCAGTATCCTGCGAGAGTGAAAGTTGCAGTTTTCCTAATTGGTACAATTTCCCTTAATTCTTAAGGCAATACAGTACTTTGATTTGGACTGTGTATGAAGGTGGTATGTTTTCTTGCACCAGGTCTCTTGCTACTGAAACTAGTTTGTCCTTGAGCAAGTCAGATGACCTTTATAAAGATACAGGGATCTTACCTGATAACAATATATAATGGGCCTTCATATAATTAAGATAATGGTGATTATGTGCCTAGTAATGTGTCAGAAAGGTAGCTGTTGTTTGGCCACTCTGGCAAGCATAAAACCTACTTTTCATGTCAAAGGCATGTTCTACTTTCTAACATTCTTTGTTGAATGTTCTTTGTAGGTCATGATGAATGAGACAGCACAGCAAAACATGGAAAATCACCCTGTTATTCGGACTCTGTATGATCATGTGGATGAAGTTACATGTTTAGCTTTTCATCCAACAGAACAGATCCTAGCATCTGGTTCAAGGGACTACACACTTAAATTGTTCGATTATTCAAAACCTTCTGCCAAAAGAGCCTTCAAATATATACAGGTTAGATACAATACCAGTTCAGAGCAACCAAAGCTTGAATATCTAAGTACTGAGGTATCAGTGAGCTGAATCGTTTCCGAGTTTGGAAGTAGTTAGGTATGTAGGAGTATGCAGCCACAAAATTTGGAGACATTACGGTAATTACACATTAAGAGTTGGTGCATAGTGGATACCTATATACTTTAAATCTAGTGCCTGTCTGCTTTTTGCTAATCTAGACCAAAACTAATAACGGGTAACTTTAGAGTCAATTATATTATCTTTATTTTGTAGGAGAGTTTGGGATTATGTGGTGGTGGGCTTTGGGGTGTGTGACTGGCTGACAAAGCCTCCTGTCACTCCTGTGCGATATCCCAAAAATGAGCAGGCACTGCAGGCTACTCTAGGACAAAAACCATGACATATTTAAAGGTAGCCTGTCGTTTTAATCCTATAGGAAGCCTTTTCTATTTTGCAAAAACAACACATTGTGTTAACTGATAACTTAACTAGTTTTTTGCACTTTAATGCCACCAGAATTGACACTTCCCGTTTGGATATTTTTTCTTTCTTACACCAATTATGTATTTTTGATCAAACAGGAAGCAGAGATGTTGCGCTCAATTTCTTTTCACCCTTCTGGAGATTTCATACTTGTTGGTACCCAGCACCCTACTTTACGACTGTATGATATCAATACTTTCCAGTGTTTTGTGTCTTGCAATCCTCAAGATCAGCACACTGATGCTATATGTTCAGTAAATTACAACGCAAGTGCAAACATGTATGTGACAGGAAGTAAGGATGGATGCATCAAACTGTGGGATGGTGTTTCAAATCGCTGTATCACTACTTTTGAGAAGGCACATGATGGAGCGGAAGTCTGTTCTGCTATTTTTTCCAAAAATTCAAAGTATATCTTGTCAAGTGGAAAAGACTCTGTAGCTAAACTATGGGAGATATCCACTGGTCGAACACTGGTCAAATACACAGGTATGTGGCAGGTGACCTTCCAAGTACCTTCTTTGAGGATAAGTTGCCCCACATTTTCAAAAACAATGTAGACTAATTCCAGAAGAGAAGCTGTGATTCTTGTATGGCGGTCATTTTAAACATTTTTAGTCTATTTTGGAGACTTTTCTGACATCGCTAGTCCATTGCTTTGTAGAGAAGTTATCACTAAATTAGGGAACAGTAAAAAGAAACACTGCCCTAAGGAGTAGGACATTTGTGCAGAGTGTTTTGTTCTCTAGTTTTTCTTTAGTGTGTTTTAGAAACAGTGATTATTAGATCAAAACAGCATCATCAGTTTTCTTGCTGGTGATTATTTTTATTTTGTAACTTTTCTATTTATTGCTAGACTAGGGGCACAGCTTAAACTGGAAGGGTCAAAACTTAACACCTAATCTATTTCTGGCTAGAGCGGGTCACTCTCCTGCAGAGCACTCACCTAGTCAGGGGGAACTACTGCCCCCCCAACTACTTTGGGGCAGTTGTTTTAACTGTTAGACTCGTGTGCGAAAGACTGCTCTAATAACCCACGGCAATATTCTGAAAAATACCTACAGCTGTTTTTTTCCTTTTTTTCTTTTTTTTTTTCCCCAAGGATGCAGTTGTGTGCAAGGTAGTCATACTTGGAGCATGCTGACAATACCATGCTTTGATCTCAGCAGGACTTAAAAATGGTGAAGGATGTAGAAGCTTTGCATATGATAGCAGCTATGTGATGGGGAAACTTTTGGGGCAAGCAGTAATGTGCTTAAGCATTAGGAGTCATAGCATAAAAGAAGAGAGGATGCTGAAAATTTTGTATCTCAGCTTCTGGGAAGTGTACAATCCTTTTTTGTATGCTAGCTCTATTTTGCTCTCAACCAGCAGGGTGCAGCACCGTGTTGATAAACTTTTGCAAAATACCCGGTAGGATGCAGGTGTGTGCATTGCAAAGTAAATGTCTATATGTGAAACACATTTTTATTTGAAGCATATGGAGGGAAGGTATGGCCAAGGTAGATCATACAATATGGCATATGATATATACATGAAAAAACAAAAGTTGCCATTGATAACGAGAATCTGTATTCTACTATCTGTGGTTTTACCCCTTAGTTATTGCTGGAAGCCTCATACAAAAAAATCTAAGGCAAAAGTGCCCTTAAAGTTAAGTGATTGTACTCATACTGCGTGGCTGGACGTGATTGACACAGTTGGATTGGTTTAATCTTTCTGTCCTCTTTAGAAATTTTAGGGTATACCATGTGTATAACTACAAAAGTATTCATTATTGATTCCCTTGTTGTATGTGTAAGTGGTAGACTGAGAAAATAAGGCTGCTTTGTAGACTGTAGAAATTGATACTTACGGGAGGTTTATTCTTAGGTCTTTGGAAACTTCCTAAAACTGATCCTAATTGGGTTAATATTTTGCTGCATATATTTAGGAGCTGGTTTGAGTGGACGACAAGTACACAGGACACAAGCTGTCTTCAACCACACAGAAGATTATGTGCTGCTTCCAGATGAAAGGACCATAAGTCTCTGCTGCTGGGATTCAAGAACTGCTGAACGGAGAAATCTTCTTTCTCTTGGGCACAACAGCATTGTCCGTTGTATTGTCCATTCTCCTACCAATCCTGGCTTCATGACCTGCAGTGATGACTACAGGGCTAGATTTTGGTACAGAAGGTCAACGACAGACTAAGGACAGCTTTATAAAACAGTGATTATCCAGATTGATTATATCATCTTGTATTGATTGTACTGCCAACAGATGCCTAGATGAAAGCCGTGCTGTGTGTGTTTTTTAATTCTGTCAAACGTGGCAGAAAAAATATAAAAACACTGAGATTAAGTTTTGCCCCATGCTAATTTTTTTATTAGTGTGTGTGGCATTAATTTTTGTAAGTCATCTCTAATTGTACTCAAGGGCGGGGGGGAGGGGCGGGCAGAATAAAATGATCCTTGCAGGAAGGATTAAACTTGTTTTCCTGTCTTTCTAAATCCCGCGAAAGGTAATGTGACTGTATCTTGCTCAAACTGGGCAGTATGAGCCAGTTTTGCTCTGCATTGTATCTGTGCAATCCCACTGAAGTCTCTTTAAAGAGTGGATTACACAAGTAACAGCAGAACTTAGAAAATATTTTAATGAAGCCTTAAGCTGCCTTCAGTTCTGATTCATTCTTTGTAAAGCTCTGTTTTGTATCTTTTAGTCTGGGGGTTTTTTGGTGGATTTTTTTTTTTTTTTTTAATTGGCCAAGTGGACCTTCAATTCTGAGCCAGTCTTGTGCCATAAGAATTTGAAACAGGATTTTAAATTGTTTAGATGAATTCAAGAAATGGTGTTCTAGTTCTGGTATTAAAGCTCAGACTTGAAATCTCATCGTCTTTTGAATTTATCTTGACAAATTCATCATATTTTCAAGGAATATCCACATTGCAACTGTAAAATGTGACAGTGCTGCAGTGTGTGAAAATGAAAATAATTTTGCCATAGAGACCTTTAGTATCCTCTCAAGGAAAGAAACTGTTGTGCATATTAATTTTTGTGTATGTACTTGAGAAATGTCAATTTGCTTCATTTCACTGAGAAATTTTCATTCTATGTCTGTTACACAGCACTTGAATTACATTCTTTTTTTTAATTATTCAAAAACCCAGACTCACTGGTTTTTCTCCCTGTTATCTGTAATAGCTCAAGTTTCCCAGACCTCATCTTATTCAACAGAAGTACAGATCATTAAGAAACTCTGTGCTTAAACCTTCTGTAAGTTTGCAAATTTGCTACTTATTTTTACAGATAGTTGCCTGTGCAAAGTTTTCAATGTGTTCATTCACACATCCTCGTACAGTGCTCTTGGACTTCGTGTTTGGGAGGCTTCCTTTAGTCAAAAGTTCAGTCCTTGGTTTCATGAGGATTTTTAAATGTAAGATTGTTCTTACTGATGGATTGACTTTCCATTACCACTGATGAAGTGTCTTGTCAAGGGCTGATGAGGGCACAGGTTTTGTCTGTATTTAAATAAAGATTACCTTTTAAAAAGTTATTTAATATATAAAGATGTGAATGTATTAGTTTTCTATGTAGCAAAAAAATTGATTGAATATTGGAAGGCTATGTTCAAGCTTCATGAATTTGTTGTGTTACATCCAAAACAGAGCTATAGACTTACAGTATAGAATGTGGGGTTTTTATTTTTTTAAAGAGAATGAAGTTTCATTTTTCTCTTAAAAGCTACTGCTCTGCAAAAGATTTCTTAGGTTTAGCAATCCTCTTCGCTCCTCTTCTACCTCTTTTAAAGTTTCTAAAACTTCAGAAACATGGGACGCATGAGATAGCAGTTCTGGTGGCTTTTTTGGTGGATAAACAGGGAGAACCAGAGCTGTTTGGTGGGAGGGAAAAGGGAAGTCCTGACACACAGTTATTAATGCATGCTGGACTCGCTCAGTGACAGCAGCCCTCTGCTGTTTCAGCCAGCCTGCTAAATTTTGTGGGTTTTGGGTTTTTTTTTTTTTGAGTGCCACTTTTGTTTCAATTCTGTTAAAGAAGCTGTCCCATAGCAAGACATTTGCTACTGGTGTTTGGACTCTTCTATTTTTAAATTTGGTGTTGTGTATTAAACCACTGCTGTGGTTGGTAAGTTAGCAGCGTTCTAGCTTTCACCTCACACTTCCTTAATTCTGTGGTCTTTCAACTTGCGGTGTAGAAAGAGAGTTTTATTCTGTTGATGCAAAAACATCCTGACATTGGAACCTCTCTTTTCATATTGCATATCATCTTGCTTGAGGCCAGAAGTTTGGGGTTTTTCTCTTAAGCAATAAGGGCTGGAAGAAACTTAACTCATCCTATTTAGGTAGATGACACAAGCCTGGAGTAAAACAGTTTAGTACCGCAAATCCCAGTGGTACTCTGGTAGCTGAAGGTGGTTGATTGGGGATGGCAATGGGAGGGTGCAAGGCTGCTCTACAGCATTCCGAGCAGGCACACATGGAAGTACAGTAAAGAGGAGCCATAGCTGCATCTTGAAGAACAAGGCTATGTACATAGGTAGTCATCCTGTTAGATCTGCATCTGACTGAAGGGGAGAATACATCTTTTCACTGTGCAAGTCTGGAAGTATCCAAGCAGACGTTCTTCAGGTGATCATGCTTATTTGCTACACTCAGAGAAGCTTCACACCTAGAAGCTGTATTTGAGCAATTAAAATGCCAGTGCAGCCACTTGCCCTTGGTGAGTTTTGTGGTCTGTACACCTTGGTAGCTACATCCCTGCGAGCTGCTCTGCTGACAGAAGCACTGCCATACTCGGGATTTATCACCTCCTCAAGAAAGTCTCCATCACCTGTCTAAAGGTCTGTTGTATCCGTCTAGCATGTAACCTACTCTTGCCTCTCTTCAGAAGAAGCTATGGTGGAAACATGGCAAGGTGATGCAACAGCTAACACCTTAGGCCATCGAGCCATGCCAGCATGAAAGCGAAGCAACCTCTGAGACAAATCATAATTACGGTTCTGCACCTTTCAGCCTTCAGCATGCTGACTTAGCAGTCAGTAACTGGCATGTGGCTCTAGGGAAAGTCTTTCCTAAAAGGCCTCTTCGGGAATTAGGCCTTTGCAACAGATTTCAAACTTCCCACTGAAGAGGGGGTACTGGTCTGGGCTCAATATTTCTCATTTCCTGAACAAAGAGGTGTCTTTCCACCAGAGCTGCCATGTGAGACTGAATCCCAGGAAAAACTTGAGTGCAATAAAGGAAAAGTAGGTAAGATAATTGTAGTTCAGGTTAGGAAGTTCTCCATGTGGCTGTAAGAGACCCTTCAAAGATCCTGCAGCACAACTGCATACTCGCTGAGCAGGATATTGCAGGACAGGAGCCGAAGCCCACGCGTTTCCTCGCGTACGTGTTTAAGCCTTGGTGCAGCCAGGAGGAGTCTTTCACACCGCACTCAGCCCCAGGTATGCGTGGTAATACATACCGTTTTCCGAAAGCCCCTTTATAACAAAAACTGTATTGGTGCCTTAAAAGTTGAGGCAACGTGGAAAGGCGTGAAAAACATTGGCTTCAAAATCCTGAATGGATATGATTGTGGGAGTCTTATTTCTATCAAGCGTTGTACAGCCCCTTGAGGTACGTAGTATTCTTGTATTCATTACGTTTCTAAAAGAGGAAATGTAGGAACATGTAGCAAAACAGAAGGGTGAGACTTCTGACTGCGGTTAATTGCGACAAGTTGCTGACAGAGAGATCAAGGAAAATTCCACTTGCAGACAGACTGTTTTTTCTCACTTCCAGACGCTAAAAGGGGTTTTCTGTTTTGCATTCTGTTCTTTTTAATTTTATCTGTTGTCACAGAAATTATCTTTCATGAGAATCTTTTCCACAAATTCCTAAATGCTTTTAGGGGTAGAGCTGTCAGATGTGCTTTCTTGAGACATAGTTCCTAGCACACGGTGACTGTGCGAAGCTGAAGTCTCCTCATCCTGTGGCAATTATCGGTATTGCTCAAAGTGACGCTGCCGGTGAATGACAACAATGGATAAAAATATACGAATCAACACAACTGCAAAGGTACGTCTGTTTTTTTTGAGCACAGCATATAAACTATTAGGGAAAAAAGGTCCTAGAGTAGGGTTTGATGTTTGAACTGAGCATGACGCTTGGTGATGTTGGAAATATTTGGTATTCTCACCTTGAGGTGGACGGAGGGCTTTTTACGATGCTCACATACCTGATGTCTCCCTGTGCTTTTTGTTGTGACAAAACTAGTAACTGGAAGAAATGTCTTCCTGGGGAGGACTTTGAATAATGTAAGATTCCCAAACAACAAATAACTGTGAATAAACACATTTGTGAAATAATAAATCCGTAACTTCAAGGTTCCACCTGTCTTACTGCTATCCTGTAGTAACGTTTGAGACATGGTTATATTGTCAGAGACTTTCAGTGACAGCCCGGGTGACCTGTTGCAGGATAGATAATCTCCCTATGTTACATGCAAAACAGCAGACATTTTGAAGTACTATATTTGTTACTTTTGAAAGACCGGAACTAGTTTAAAAGTTTTTTTACATTTATTTGTATATTCATATGGCATCTAGTATAAGTTTTTATATATATACACTCAGATAACATAACCTGCTGCAGCTATAGGGGTTAGAGAATGCTGACGTCTTGATTCAAAGTCAGTGCCTTGCTAGTCCAACTGTCTGCAAGTCTAATAAGCAGTGTGATGGAATTATTATTTTCATCCTGGATTATGATCTCACTGTATACTGTAAATAAACTGCCTCCTGGAAATTTGATACAAAATCTAGTGGGGGGGGAAAGCTTAGTACCAGCTCAATGAGTCATTCTTTTGCACTCAAAATTTTCCACTGAGGCACATAAAGACAAAAGGACTATTTTTCAGGTTAAGTCATCAGAAATTGATGCAGGACACCTTTAATTTCTATACAGAGAAGAGAGTTGCTATTTCTAGGTACGATTTTTTCAGTTTTCTTAAATGGATTGCCAATGGCTAAATAAATGCAATAGTAGCAAACCGATTTCCTGTTCCGCTGTGAGATCTTCAGACACAGCCATAGCACACCCCGACAAATCCAGCTGAGAAACAACTGAAAGTCAGATTTATTTCTGCTGTATAATTAATGACCTGTTTATAAGGTTCCTACTACCCTAGCAGGACTGTTTATTATAACACTTGAATGTTACACTTAATACGAAAATACTATGGATGTGTTTTTTCTACTATCTGGACTTCTTGAAGCACCACGTGCCAACCACCAGTAGCTTTACTGTGACAGGTAACGCTCTGCAATTATCACTGTGCCCCAACTATTCCACCTTCACAAGGAAAACCGTTTCTGAAAATGAATTCAGTATGTGAGCACAGCCGGAGAAATTATGTTACTTCTTTCTTGTTGCGTATACACCTGCGACACAGTCTACACAGGAAACGTTGCACCTCTTGGTGCAATTTAAAACACAGTTAGTGTGACGGGCTGTGCTCGGGCTGCGCTTGGGAAATTGTTCTCATACTGTTTGACAACATCTTCTGTGCTGCTGCCAAAGGAAAAACAGAATTGTTTCTTAAACACACAGTAAGTCAATCTGAAGTTTGTCTCTCCTTCCAAAATGCCCAGTTCACATATTCCCATCTTGTCCACAAACAAGCCCGTGAA